CCTCCTCCTCTCACTCCTTGGCCTTAGGCCCCTCTGCTGGGCCCTTCCCCTTTCACCTGAATAGGGCCTTCAGGTTCTCGGGCAACTCCGTGCGTCCAGCATAGCCAGGGTTCATGGTGATGAAGAGGCCCACGGTGGGGATGAGGCTGATCATCTCCCCCAGGAAGTTGAACTTCTTTTTCTTGGCCCGAATTGCATCTTGGACACATTTTACCTAGATAGTTGGTACATAGACAGACCAACTTCGTACTGTTGGCTATAACCACCACTTCTTTTGTGTGTGTGCATGTGGGGGGGTGTGTATGTGTGCAGGTGTGTGCATGTATGTGGACGCCAGAGGCCAACAGATGTCTTCCTCGATTGCTTTCCACCTTATTATTTCATTTTTATTTTTAATTGTGTGTGTGTGTGTGTGTGTGTGTGTGTGTGTGCATATGTGAATGGGTGCCCACTGAGGCCAGAGGTATCAGATTCCCTAGAGCTGGAGCTACAGGCGGTTGTGAGCTGACCAATGTGATGCTGGGAGCTGAACTCGGATTTTCTGTAAGAGTAGTAAGTGCCCTTAACCACTGAGTCATCTCTCCAGCCTCTCCACCCTATTTTTTGAGACAGGATCTCTCACTGAACCCGGAGCTCATCAACTGGCTGGACCGGCTGGGCAGAGCGCTCCAGGAATCCTCTATTTCCACCTCCCCAGAGCTGCTATTACAGGTGCACGCCTTGCATCTGGCGCTTTATACGAGTTCTGGGTATCGAGCTCAGGTCCTCAAACTTGCATGGCAAGCGCTTTACCAACTGGGCCATCTCCCCAGCCCCTGTGACCCCACTTCTGTTAAAGCATGTGATGGCTGTGACGTGGCAATGGCCCTCACGTTGTCACTACCGCCCAGCTTCTTCCAGCACTAGGCTGTCCCCCACCTCTATGATCTTGTCACATACAAGTGTTACACAGCGTATACAACCTCTTCAGATGGGCTTTTGTCTCGGCAGTGTCCTGGCCCTGCACCCTACCCGTTCTGACCCTTCTCTGACAGGAACCCGCCAGAGACCTATTAATAGCCATGTGTGTATCCAAGAGTCTCCGAGACCCATGGTTGCTGACCAGATTAAGTGAACATCAGGACTCTGGTCTATATGTTTTGGTTTGTGTTTTGTTTTTTTGTTTTGCTTTGCATTTTGTTTGAAAACCTACAGAAAGTAGCTGCAAATTACCAGATCACCACTTGAGGGAGCCCCAGACTTGTGGTTGAAACCTCTCAGCTGCCTGACCAGGCTTAGCCAGTCAGTACACAGTTGTCTTGCCTGGTCACACTGGGCCTCCCTCCTACACCTGGACAGGGCTAGAGCCGAAACTGGGCACATATCCCACTGTGAGGCTTCATACAACATTCTGGGGTTCGTTCCCTGATTTGGGGGTGGGGCAGGAGCTTCAGATGTGTACTGGGGAGAGAGGGCACTGGCCTAGGAACTAGTCACCCCATCCTGCACCTCACTGGCCAGTTAAGCATGGAGGGAGGTGGGTGGAGGGGCGGCTGCTGCCTGTACCCCAGCGCCCTAGCAAACCTGTCGTCCTCATGTTCATTTCCTTCTCAGATTAGAAAAAGAAGACACGGGGGGCTCTGGAGCTCTCGTTCCCCCGGGCCGTGGGTCCCTCCACACAGGATAGCCGGGAATCCTGCCCTCCACAGCCTCACTGGCTTTTCCTGCTGGAATTCTAAGAAGAAGGTGCCTTTGCCAAAAAGCATTGATGTGTCACTTGGCATAAAGGTGCCTTATGGGTAACCAACAGCAGGATGAAAATTGGGCTCCTCGGCCTTCACCCCAACTCTTTTCTCAGTCCGCCTCTTATGTGGCATCCCAGGGACAGGTCCTAAGGACTGGCCTCTTATGACAAGAGTGGAAAATACCCTCCCTCCCCACACTAGACTGCTTAAATATGCGTAACCTAGCCCCCTTCCCTGGATGATCCCAGAACCCTTGCTAGTACCCCTCCCTCCCTACATGCCCCACCCAGGGCAAGGAAACTGGCCCTTGCCGTCCTGATTGAACTTCCTTTCTTGCTCTCTACCTTCCCATTCAGGTCCTGGGGCAGGTGGCTGAACCTGGTCTGTAGGGGCCTTCGAAGTCAGGCCTCTGCGCTAGGCCTCCAATGACTGACTCTCAAGTTTGATGCAGGACCGGAGGCTGGCCGCAGGTGACCCCAGAGCCCACCGTTTCTCTAGTCTATCTGGCACCAAGACCACAGGGCCTTGTGTTCAAAATGCAGCAACACCCACTCAAGCTGTACAGGTGATTTTAACAGCTGGGATGCTGGCAGAGGGCCACTCCCCAAATCTGAGGACCCCACTCCTTCCTTGTCTGGGACTCCCCACTGCTGTCCTGTGCCTAGACGCAAAGGGCCATGTCCCCCCGGCCTCGGCACTTTGTCTAATACACCAGCATGCATCCTTAATTCCCAGTTCCACTGACCCCTGTGATGAAGTCCCTGTTAAAAAGTCTGTAGTTTGTCCTAAGACTGCTTCCATACATATTTTAAAGCATTCTTCCTGCACAGGTACATGGTGAACTGTAACCCAACTTTTTGTTGTTGTTGGTCTTTCTGAGAGAGGGTCTCCCTGCAGCTCCAGCTGACCTGGAACTACATAGACCAGGCTGACCTCAAACTCACAGAGATCCACCTGCCTCTGCCTCCCAAGTGCTGGGATTAAAGGTGTGCGCCACACTCAGCAACCCAACTTAACGTACAAATACGCTAACTTAATTCTCCTAGCAAGTAGTTGAGCCAATCCCGGGCAGCCAGCTGTTTAAACTGTGTTCAAATCAGACCCAGCTGTAACCAACCCAGCTGTCTGTCCTTCAGTCACTTCCTTATCTCCGACTGTAAACACAACCTTCCTGTGTGGAACATTCTGGACCACTTTTGGTTTGGCCAGCTGTGTAATCCTAGAATCACAAAGTCAACTAGGAACTGTAAAATTAGATCTCTCTCCCTCTCTCTCACTCTCTCTCACACATTCTCACTCTTTCTCTCACTCTCTCTCTCTAGCCCAGGCTGAGTTTGGAATTTATTTATGTAGACCAAGCTGACCTTGAACATGTGTCAATCCTCCTGGCTCTACTCCCAAGTGGCATGTGCCACCATGCCTAGCATAATCTCCTCTTTTAATGCCCCTAAGCAGAATTAATTACCGCCTCACCTGTCTTCTGTGGCACAGGGGCTGCCTTTCCTGATTCTTACCCTTTTCTCCTCTACGTGTGTAAGCTGCCCAGGGGCCCCTGGAAACCAAGGCAGGGGTCTGAGGCATCTTTATGTCACAACACTGCCCAGTGCCTGGCTGCGGGGGTGGACAACCACAAGGGTCTCTGGGAAACCTGACAGGCCTCCAGTGGGCAAAGCAGCCAGAACCCACCCCCTGCCTCCCCTTCCCCCCTCACCTCAACACCCCCTTGACCTTGCAGAAAGGTCTTACCTGCACTGCAATCACAGACAACACTTCCACTGAGATCCGGTTGAACTCATCAAAGCAGCCCCAGGCTCCCGTCTGGGCCAGGCCCTTGTAGATGTTCCCACAGGACTACAAAGGCAGATAGGGAGGTCATGTCAGAAGGCGGGAGGGGTGTTAGGGCACCCTACCCTGTGGGAGACTCCTGGGGCTCATCTGGGACATGGGGCTTTCCAAATCCCAGGAGGTGGCAGGCTGTTGTCCCAGCAGTGCTCACTCATGTGGCAGCCTGCCTGTGTTTGGAGACAGATCCTTTCACCCTTGACCCCCATAGTCCCAGGGCTTCCCTGAGCAGAAGGCTCAGCTCTGCACAGTCTTGTGATTTCCCCAGGTGTTTGTTTGTTTGTTTCCCTGCACACTTCATTTTACACACACAAAGGAGGAGGGATCCTTTCTAGGTGGGGTGGGGCTGCAAGCATATGGGGAACTTTCCCTGGATGAGTGTGCCTCTTTGTCCCCTGCAGGATAATCCACACACCTGCAGAGGCTGGTACAGATCAATCCCTTCTAGAAACACCTGACTTCAAACTTTCCTTTTCTAGAGTCCATGAGGCTGACATGGATGGGGCCCTTTGGGCTGTGGAGCTCAGCCAAGGTAAGGGAGTCCCCCGCAGGCCAAGGGCCTAAACCCAGCCCTCATTTCCCTCCTGCTGTGCTGTACCTGTTACTGCAGGGGTCTCTCCCTCTAGAGAGGGATCCTTCTAGAATAAAGTCTAGACCATGTGGGCTTGGGAGCCCTAACGCCCACATCAGGGGATGGTGGCAGGGTCATCAGAGCACCCAGTCTCTACTGCTCAGGGTTCTGATTGTGGTACCCACACATTCACACCTTTCTGGACAACCTGCCAGGCCCTGGGGCTCTCCCTGAGTCCCACATGGGGACCGGTGGCTGTGGCTGCTCACCTTATGGTCCATCTGCTCGGAGCAATTGAAGACATACACCATGGTGCCCAGGGCTCTGCCCAGGTCCTTGGTTGTCTCAGTCTTGCCAGTGCCGGCAGGGCCCGCAGGGGCTCCACCCATGATCAGGTGGAGGGACTGCGTGAGCGTGATGTAGCACCTGCCGAGGACCTCCGGTTACCCGAGGCGCCGTGACCCCATGGCCCGCTCTGTGCTGTGCTTTCCCTGTGGTCTCTGTTAACCCTGGGGCTGTTGTACTAGCTCAGCCCCAGGGGGATGAAAGGTAGAGAAAGGGAAGGACTGGGGCTGAGACTGAGAGGTAGGTGTGCTGTAGGCATGGTCCACCTGTGGGTGTCATCCCTGACAACGAACCATCGGCACTGGGGATTACTCAGACAGGTTCTGGGCTGAGTGGTTTGTTGTCCCATCATTCACTTTATCCTCAAAACATGACGGTTCACAAAATCTGTCCCTGCTTTGCAGACCTCAGAGAGGGGAAGTCCATCCCTTGAGACCACGCAGCTCGTGTCAGACCAAGAACATACAGCCTAAACCTTGCGTGGTCCTCACCTGTCTGTGAGTGGGGTGATGACCAGCCGTGGTGTGTTGCCCAGGTACTCGTAGGAGTACTGGATCTGGGCGTCGCAGATGTTGGCAAAGCAGTGTTTTTTCTCCTCATCCCAGCGGTGCCGGAGCTGTGACTGCCAGGTGAAGGCCTGCGAGCTCTCCACCTGCAGAAGGAACCCTGTGTCTTAGCTCCAGGCTGTTTCCCTGGGATCCCTCCCCTGGCTCCCGTACACAACTGTGATGCTGCCCACGGCTGCATCCTGCTAAGAATAGGGACATCTGGGGCAGGGGAGATAGGCCAGACAGTAAGTGCGTACCATGAAAACATGAAACCCAAGTTTGATCCCAGAACCCTTGTGAAATAAAGTTCGGTGTGAGGGTGAGCATGTGTAATCTCAGTGCTGGGGAGGCTGAGGCCAGAGGATCCCCGGGGCTCACTGGCCAGCCAGCCGAGCCTACGTGGTGAGTTCCAAGCCAAAGTCTCAAAAAAGGAGGTGAGGGCCGGGAGTGGTGGCACACTCCTTTAATCCCAACACTTAGGAGACAGAGGTAGGCAGATCCCTGTGAGACGGAGGCCAGTTTGGTCTACATAGAGAGGTCCCTGTCCAGCCATGGCTACATAGTGAGACCCTGTCCAAAAACCAAAACCAAAAACGATAGATGGCCTCCACATGTATGTGAACCTATAGGCACATATACCTGCACACATACGAACACACACACACACACAAATGGGACCTTCTGGCGTTTCACTCATCTAACTACTATGAATCTGATAGATGGCCTCCATATGTATGTGAACCTATAGGCACATACACCTGCACACATACGAATACACACATACACACACAAATGGGACCTTCTGGCGTTTCACTCATCTAACTACTATGAATCGCTCGCTAGGAGGAGCAAGGACAGCTGCTTCCTCCACCATCCCCGCCCTTGAAGAAGAGCTGGCAGGGACTGGGGTCCAGTGCCTGGTCAGTCCCAAATGGTCCCCAGCTCTCCCCAGCCTCCCAGGGACGGAGGCACTCATGCCTTGGCTATGATCATTTTGGCCACCACATCTCGGGCATGCACATCGATGGTGCAGATGGTCATGATCTTCATCCTGTCGCCGGCACTGAGGTTTCCGATGAGCAGGGTGATGAGAGCGTTCAGCTGACTGATCTGAGGAAACAGGGCGCCTGTGCTGGGACCCTGCTTAGTGCTCACCATATTCAGGTGGTCACTGGGCTGGGTTTCCAGGTTTCCCAGGGGAAAGACAGTTGTATAGAGATGACCATGGGCCTTTGTTAACCGTAATGAAAAACAGGAAAAAGTTCTTTTCCCAGTGGGGGTTGGGATGCTAGGGAGCCCCTTAAAGAAGGCCATATACATTCAGTAAAAACAGCTTCCTGGACCTGCTGGCGCACGCCTTTAATCCCAGCACTCGGGAGGCAGAGGCAGGCGGATTTCTGTAGTTGTATAGAGATGACCACGGGCCTTTGTTAACCGTAATGAAAAACAGGAAAAAGTTCTTCTCCCAGCGGGGGTTGGGATGCTAGGGAGCCCCTTAAAGAAGGCCATATACATTCAGTAAAAACAGCTTCCTGGACCTGCTGGCGCACGCCTTTAATCCCAGCACTCGGGAGGCAGAGGCAGGCGGATTTCTGTGAGTTCGAGGCCAGCCTGGTCTACACAGTGAGTTCCAGGAGCTAAAGGAAGACCCTGTCTCAAAAAGACCAAAGGGAAAAAAAAAAAACAAACCAAAACAAAACACTACAACATCTTCCTATAAAGGCAGCAGAGTGAATCAATTTACACATCCAAAAAGATGACCAGGCTACGTAAGAAAATGCCGATCGTGGCCCTGGGGAGACGCCCCGTCAGTGAAGTACTTCCTTTGCCAGCACAAGGACCTGAGTTGTTTCCCAGAATTCACATAAATAAGCCAGGCATTGCGTGGCACACGGATATAATCCCAGTGTTGGGCAGACAGAGACAGGCAGATCCCTGGGGCTAGCTGGCCAGGTAGTCTAGCCTAATGTGCAAGCTTCAGGCCAGTGAGAGACCCTGTCTCAAAAATAAAGGCAGTTGGTGTTTCTGAGGAAGAACAGCCAAGTGGTACTCTGGGCACATGCGTGCAGCCCCTCCCCCAGTTATCTTTAGTTTCTTGAAGGGAGAAGAGGGCTGGCAAGATGGCTCAGAGTGTAAAGGCACTTATTGCCAGGCTTGACAGCCCAAGTTGTACCCCAAGGACCCACTCGTGGAAGAACAGAATTGATCCCTCAGGTTTTTCTCTGACCATCACATGCTCACAGTGGCACGTGCACATAAACAAATAAATGTAAAAAAAGAGAAGCCAGCAGTGACCGCTTCTGATCCACAAAGAGAGGCTTTGCGGAACTCGACCTTGGAGAGGAGTGGGTTTCTGGTTGCTGCCTGGCAGTTTCGGGGCCGCAAGGCCAAGGCCCCACACCTGCTTTTTGTTGTAGTCTTTGATAGCATTTTCGTATCCTTCCTCCAGCCTCGCAAATGCCAGGCCCACCTCCGTCGTCCACCAGATCTGAGTGCCTGTTAGCGCCACCTGAAAATGACCCATGTCGTGAGTGGTCACTCTTTATGGTTAATAAAAAGAGCTCGTAGTTAGGCGTGGTGGCGCATGCCTTTAGTCCTAACACTCGGGAGGCAGAGGCAGGCGGATCTCTGTGAGTTCAAGGCCAGCCTGGTCTACATAGTGAGATCCAGGACAGCTGGGGCTACAGGGAGACCCCGTCTTAAAAAAAAACCAAAAAAAAAAAAAAAAGAGCTCGTGGCAAGCAGCTAAACCTGTTCCCAACAGATTGAGGGTAACCTGGGGTCTCAGAGCCACAAGAAAGCCCCCATAAAGCTGCACTGCAGGGGGGCCCCCCATCCACACCCAGACCTGGGCTGGGTAGTCAAAGATCCATTGCTCTCTGGGCTTCTCCTCGTAGGTCACCACAGCTTCTGGAATTTCATGTCGCAGTGTGGCACACATTCGGTCCAGCACCCGATTCAGCCATATTTCCACCTGGGGATGGGAGCCACATTGACCATACAGGGTCCCCAGCACATCTCAACTCAGTGATTTGCTTTTTTTACAGAAGAAACTGTACATTTGAGGCAGGAAGAGTAGGGATAACTTTGCAGCCCAGGACCCTACTTGGCTTGACCTACCTACACACACCCCTTGCTCAATGAAGCACTTAGCAACCTGGGACCCCCACCTGCACTGAGCTACATGTATGGCCCTCTGCAAACAAAGCAATCGCTCCAATCTGTAGCCATCTATCTAGTAACCCCTAGTAACTTGTCTTCTGTGGTCAAACATCCTGAAGCACATCTTGGAACCAGACGCAGTTTGCCAATCCAGCCTGCACCAGTTTTGGGCACGTGTGCAGCAAGGCAGACTGTGTCCTCTGTGTGAATGTTTAGGGAAAAACCCCTGTTTACCATCTCATGCCTATACACAATTGGGCATGCATTTGATTAAAATCAGGTGCATCATGAGTAAGGACATGTGCAGGGAACAAAGGCTTACATAATCCAAGCCTGTGGATCAAAGCAGGAAGCCGCCTCCACTATAACCCTAGCAACCAACTAACTCTTCCTGGACCCACAAAAGGTCCTGGGAAATAGCCATGGTCCCCTGACCAATCTGTCTCACAACTCTGTCTTCTGTATCTTCACTTTGGTTCTGAATAAAACCCCTACTACTTTACAATTTGTGTGTGCTACTTCAATTCTTTCAACAAGATGCCAGGAACCTGGAAATCCTGGATCCAGGCAGTGACCACCAGTAATATGTTTGTCAGAGGTAAAAATACTAAGGTTTTCATAGAACAGTAAAAATTGGCCTGCTAGGGCCAATGAGATGGCTCAGTCGGTTAAGGGTACTGGCTGCATAGACCTGGTGACCCAGACTTGATCCCCAGAACCCACATCGAAGTAGGAGAGAACTGAGTCTACAAAGCTGTCCTCTGACCTCCCCTCAAGGCCCTGGCACATGTGTGTCCCCACATCATGTACACAGTAATAAAGTAAAACCACTGACACGCTTACAAACTGGTGGGAAGCCAGTGACATGCCAGCAAACCTTGGTGCCTACACAATTGTCCGTGAGTCAGAGACGGGGGTGGGGATCCAGAGGAAAGTCCATCTCAGTGGTAGAGAGCCTACCTTGCATGCTCAGAAGACCTGAACCCATCCCCAGCACCACAATGGAGCAAGCACAACCCTCCACCACGGCGTCAGGGTGGGAACGGAGCCCTCTAGGGGGTGGGGTCAGTCTCTTTTTAACTCAGTACAGACAGGGGACCTCGAAGAGTTTGAGGGAGGTCAGATCTGTGGGTCTCTGCTGCCTCACCCAGCCCCATCAATAGGAAACAGGGCAGTCGTGGGCCGTCAGCCCGTCACCCTGGGCTCACAGGCTCACCTGGCCCGAGAGATCACATTCCTTATCAAAATCCACATACTCGTCTTCCTCACTGTACATTCCCAGGGCGGACTTGAGCGGTTTTCCACTGGCATCGAGTCGGAACTTCAGCTTACACAGGCTGTCGAAGAGTTTGGACAGGTGGTGGCTCACCTGGGGGAGGGACACAGGCGTGAGGTCACGGAGGGACTCACAGGGCATGCCCACGGTTCAAGGTTCCTTTGAGCTGTTTTACGCTCCCTCCGCTTTCCTTCTGTTTTGGAATATGTGCTCCGTTTTTGGTAAAGAGTAACCGATCCTGGCTCAGGCAACCACAGGAACGGGTGAGGATTGCCCTTGGGCAGCATAAGGTTACCAGAGCCGCCTCCCCGCCCCATGTCCCCCTCGCTCACACTCTCTCTCTGAGCAGCCTTGGGGAACTGTCTTCCTGGATCTTGGGGTATTAGGGTAAAGCATATGAGGACCATACAGAGAATAATTCAGCATGTCTGTTAGACACCCATGAAGCCCCCGAGCTCTTACCCATCCCACATAAGGAGAACAGGAAGAGGGAGGCAGCTGACTTGCTCAAAGTCACACTGTGTGCAGAGCAAATCTGAGGGGAGTCCTACTGTGGGTTTGTCCTTCAGCCTAGGGCTCCCCAGACTCAGGGGTCAGACTTTGGGGGCCTGGCCTACCTCCGTGGGGTCATTTCCATTAGAAAGGATGTCCAGCAGGTCGGCCGAGGAAATGAAATAAAACCTCGGGAAAGCCAGTCTCTTTGTCTCTAAATATTCAGCCAATGCCTTTTCACACACTGACAAGCTGGGAGGAATGACAGAAATGGGGCTGACTGACCGTGCTCTGCAGGGGCTCCCCCCAAGCCTCTCATCCTCTCAATTTACTGAAGGAATCCAGCCTTTTCCTCATAGACCCAGATGAACTTGGAACTTCTAACCGGATGTCCCCATTTCTCCGCCAGCCCTGCTCCTCATCCACCCTGAGAGAAGGGGAGTATTATCAACCCATGACCTGTACTTTTGCACCATCTTGACCAGCAGGTGGTGCATGACCTAGCACCTGGCCCCATCAACACACCTGCACACGTGTGGGGACCCACCTCTTCTTCAGCGACTCGAGTTTATCATAGAGACCCGGCTTGTTGGTGGCTTCCACCACGTTTGGTGTTCTCATGGCATCTGCCATTAAGGCCTAGGAGAAGGGAAGCACAGAGGTGTTGGAGCCTGTCTAGCCCAGAGCAGCCATTTCCAGAACCCTTGAGAAGCAGGTGCTGAGCTTACCTTGAATTCCAGGTCAATGGCATCAAACCGCTTGGAGTCCTCTGGAAGCTGAGCTCGGATGTCTTCCGAGCCAATGAAGATGCTCTCCAGGTGGCTCCAGGTTCTCTGGACCTCAAACCAGATGGAGATGACCGAGTCTGCGGTGGACAGCTTTTGCTGCCATCTGGTCACTTCCTTCAGGAAGTGGGACAGGTACTTGGACATCATCAGGTTCTGCAGCTGTACCTGGTTGTCTTCTAGGGTCTCTACCAACACCTCGTCTGACTTGAGCATCATGGTGCCTGTCCGCAGGTGTGGCTCATGCTCAAATTCCATGGTGGCCCAGGTGGAGTCCAGGGTTTTCAGTACCTTTCGGGGCACAAAGAAACAAGGTATTGTGGTTTGGACGACGACCGCCCCAACACAGGCTCATGTGTTCCATCACGTGGTCCCCAGCTGGTGGTGCTGTTTCGGAAAGTTGTAGAATCTTTAGGAGGTGGAGCCTCATGGAGGAAGTGGTCACCGGAGGAGGTGGGCCTTGAGGGTTTATGGCACAGCCCCACTTCCTCTTCATTTCTTGCTTCATGACTATGGGTTCAGTGTGACCAGCAGCTTCTTGCTGTGGCCACCACGCTTCCCTGCATTGAGGGGAGCTGTGTCCGTCAAGCTGTGTCCATCAAGCTGTAAGCCAGAGTAAACCTTTCCTTCCTGAAAGTGCTTCTTCTCAGGCATTTTATTACAGCCATGAGAGAAATAAGTAATACACGAGGCACTGAGTGTTAGGAATTCTTGGAGGGAGGGTTCAAAGCTCCTGGGACACAGAACAAAGCCAGGGTCTCACACCCATATTGCTCAGTAGCCAAGAGGTGGCCACAGCCCAGAGGCCCACCCACAGGTGAACGGACGGACACATGGGTCCCTCTGTATACGTCGCTGTCTTCAGTCTTACACGGGAGTGAGGCCCTGACATAGACTACACTTCAGATGCAGACACTGGGCTCGGCAAAGGACCCCACACACAAAGGCCCACACGTTGTGCGTGCTAGAGTCACACCTGTCACACATGGCACTCCACGGTATGGCACTCTGGCACACTGACTTCTGAATTAAAAGCATCCAAGAAACCACAGGTGCAAGGAAGGACACGCTGGCCTTTATTAAACATTAACTCTTTTTTTTTTATCTTTTTGAAACAGGGTCTCCTTGTAGCTCCAGCTGGCCTCGAACTCACAGAGATCTGTCTGCCACTGCCTCCCGAGTACTGGGATTAAAGGCGTACACTACTACACCTGGCAGATTTAATTTTTTTTTTTACTTAATGTGTGTGTGTATGCACATGTATATGTATGTCTGTGTGCCAGTGCCTACAGAGGTCAGGAGGGGCTGTTGGATTTCTTGGAACTGGAGTTACAGGCATTTTTGAACTGCCTGATATAGGTACTAAGATCCAAACTTCAGCCCTCCGATAGAGCAATAAATACTCTTAACTGCTGAGCCATCTCTGCAGCCCATGTTTGTTTGTTTTTAAGCCCATTCTTTTTAAAAAAATATTTATTAATTTTATTTTATGTGTTGGAGTGTTTTGCCTGCATGTATGTAAGTGTACCTATGTGGTGCAGTGCCCACAGAGGCCAGAAGAGAGCATCAGATCCCCTGGAACTGGAATTACAGATGGTTGTTAGCCGCCATGTGGGTGCAGGGAACTGAACCCGGGTCCTCCACAAGAGCAGCCAGGGCTCTTAACCGCTGAGCCATCTCTCCAGCCCCACCACCATTCTTTTTCTTGATTCAGGAGATTCATTCCCAGGTGAGGAATGCCTCCCTGAGCCCAAGCGGAACACAACCCTGACCATCACAAGGCTGTGTGCTGGGAGGGAGAGGGTGGCCAGGAATGGCACTGTTTTCAGATAATGGGTTCTGCAAGTATTTGATGAGTTTTCTGTCCTGGACAGGGCAGGAAAAGGCTGCCAGACCTCCTGCCAGTGCAAAGGCCACGTGAGACCCTCAGAGGCATCCTGAGCTTGTGGGCCAGGCCCAGGGTCTTCGGGGAGAAGAGCCACGTGATAGTAACAGTGCCTACCTTCTCCATCCCAGACTCTTTCACGGCCTTGTCCACGATGTTGCGGACCTCGTCCTCGTACTTGTGAAGGTTGAGCTGCAGCAGGTCTGCCAGGGTGGTCTCGTCTGACATTTCAAACTTCACCTGGGGAAAAATGGGCCCGCTCCACTTGAGGCCACACTTGCTGCAGTGGCGGGGGACTGGCCTCACAGTGCTCCACTGCTGAGGTGCCGTGGCTGCTGGTGTGGTGAGCCCTGATCTGTGACTTAGGGGCTCTGTGACTCAGGCCGGTTCCTTCTCCAACCTGTCTAACTGTGTAGCCTCAGAACTCTTCTGGAATGGGGCAAAAAAAGTGTACCCCAGAATTCATGTTCACCCAGGACTGGTAGGGCAAGATCCCACTTGGAAACGGGGACTTTGCCTATGTTAAGGATGAGGTCATCCTGGATTTCCCAGGTGAGCTCTAAATCATGCCAGAGGTATTTTTACAGGAGAAAGGAATCACTGTTGAAGAAGGCCATGAAGATGGGGACAGAGTGGAGGGATGCAAGCACAGGCCAGTGAACTCGTGGAGCTCTGGAAGTTCAAAGAGGCTAAAAGGACCCTGTCCTGGAACCGCCAGTGGGAACAGGGCCCTTCTGGACATCTTCAGAGCTAGGAAGGAACACAGCTCTTTTTTTAAGCTTGCCCATGCTGTGGTGGTCTGTCCCAGCAGTCCAGGAACAAGCCCACCCTGCAGGGGGCTGCTGGGTTAGAAACAGGCAAGGTGCTGATGCGTCACCAACAATGCCAGGTGCTGTGGTCCCACTTTGATGGCTTGGTCTCCAGCCTGAGGAGCTACTGAGAGGTGGTGGGACCTTTAGAAAGTGGGGCCTAGTGGAGGAAGTGAGGTCATGGTGGGTGTGTCCTTGAAGGGATGTGGGGACCCTGGCTCCTCTCTTGCTGCTTCCTGGCCACATGAGGTGAGCAGCCTCCTCTGTCATGCACTCCTGCCATGGACTGTCCCACCACAATCTCAAAGCTGCAGGACCAAGAGACTGTGAACATAACCTCTGAACCATGAATTAGAATAAACCTTTCTGCCCTTTAGGTTGATGACCTCAGGTGCTCTGTCACAGAGACAGAAAGCTAAAACAGTCACCCTGTTCTCCAGTCACTTCCACACCCCAATCAGGCCTTCTCACAGTCACAAAGACAGATGTTTCCCAGCATGGGTTCTGAGCCTTGGAGGAAACTGGTTTATCCATGGATGAACTCTGACAACTTTTCATCATGTCTAGGGAAACACCTATCATGTCTCCTGTGTCCTTATGTGCCCATTCCTCTTTCAGTGGAATTTTATTCACTTTCAGATATTTTATTTTTAAATTATTAGTTATTTTTATTCTTTCTGAGACAGGGTCTCACTATGCCACTCAGGCTAGCCTTAAACTCTTTTATTTTGTTGGGGGGGTGGGGTGTGAGAAAGTATCTCCCTGTAGCCCCAGTCAGCCTAGAACTCACTATGTACGTCCACCTGACTCTGCCTCCTGAGTGCTGGGATTAAAGGTGCATACCACCATGCCCAGCCTTGGCCTCTTAATCCCTTTGCCTCAGCCTGTCGAATTCTGGGATTGCATGTGTTACCATGCCTGGACGTAGCAGTTGCTTGTTGAGGGTCCCTGGGATCTCTCTCTGCACGTCTAGGTGGGGCATGTACAAGGCCCGTCCTGTAGCTGCGTTTCCCTTTTTGTCCCCCACACCTGCATGCCCACCCCATGCCACCCCAGCATTCTTGCTCATTCACCTCACCACGTCTCTAAAATGTGTGACCAAGAAGGTCTGTGAGCCCAGGTGCTGCCCTCCCTCCAAGGTTCTGGGCTCTGCGGACAACGTGCACACTCATACATTCCTCTCGACCTCTGTCAGACCAGTGCACGGGGCTGAAGCCAGCCAGCCGAAGGTGGCTAGAGGGGAGGGAGGATGTCCCCTCCCACAGCACCTGCTGTTCTTTCATTGCTGACTCACAGCAGGGCCAGCTTTTCTCTGTGCGTCCTTGGCCTGTGCAGGGATGCGCAGAACAGCTACCAGGTACAGTCTTGCTCACGGTTGGCTGGTGGTGGGCAAGTCCCCGGCTGCATTCTTAGGAGCTGAGGCCAGCAGGATCTAAGTCTCGGGAATATCTCCGGAGATTTTGGGGTACTGGGATTCGAGCTGGGATGCATAGGGATGCCAGGGGTACAGTTTGTCCTCCCCAGCCTCCCTGTGCTGTATGGACATTCAACAACCAGGATGGGATATATAATTTGCAGGGCCTGGTATGAAATGAACATGTGGGGCCCCTGCCTGATGATGACTGAGTTTCAAGACAGTAGCAGCTGATGCCAACCTGCCAGGCAAGATGTGCTTACGGCTGCAAGGGGTATGGCTGTTATAGGGGTAATCCACACTTTGGATGCTCCACAGGAGGTCTAGTATTGTAGACCTGGTCAAAAGTCCATGACTAGGGAAGAGTCAACTACTGATGTTGGTTCACGCTGCCTTCTAAATATTTATGTTTATATCCTTAGACTAGTGATGTGATCATCCTCGGCCAGAGAAGCTTCTGTTTGTTTAGTGGGCAATAGTTAATTCAGAGACTCATAACTGTTCAAAATTCTGGGAATAATTGACTATTAAGTGCTGTAGTGTATAACTGTCCTCTGAATGCAAAGCTACCGACAGATGCCTTCTTCCCAAGCTTGGTTGCACCTGCTCAGGATCATCACAAACAAACATGGCTGTTGATGCTCCGCAAGAAAGGAGGGGCTGGGAGAGTCAGCAACACCTCCCAAGCAACCCGTCAGCCTCAGTTCCACAAGAGTAGGGACCAAGAGTACCTAAGAGGGGAAGGCCCGTAGGGAGGGGCTCTCACTATTTTGGATGGCTGCCGGAAAGCCATTCACACCTGAATGGAGACTTTCCAGTGTGGCCTTGGGGGTGGGAGTGGGGGCAACTCACACTCCTGTAAGTAAACCCTCACCCACTGATCTATAAATAAGCCTAATAAACTCTGGTTTCCCAGACTGCAGTTTGGAGAAATTAAACCTCGGTTTGTCATAAGGATGGAGGGAGGAAGGGGCCAGGCATTGTTTGCACCTCCAGAAGGAATTTTAGTAACAATCGCTCAGCCTACATGGGACATCTACATCAGCCCACGCAAGGCTCAGAGGACATCATGGAAGAGGGGGTGGAAAGAACGGAAGAGCCAGGGGATGGGGAGAAGTGTGTGAAATGCTGTGTTCTGGACATGACACGGCTGCTGCACCTGTGAGCTCACACGCAGCAGCTGTGACCACTTGCATAAGACCAAACCAGTCAAAACTGCAGCGTAGATAGAGGAACTACAGGCAACTGAGGGCTGTGGGGGGCAGGGGGACATCTTCAGTGGTGTGGCATTCAAGCAACTCTGATTTAGAAACTCAGTGGGTCCCCCCAAAATAAGCAAAAAGATATGAAAATAAGAGGGGAACTTGTTGGGAAGGAGACGGTTCAGCGGGAGTGAGATGAAGAGGTAATGGGGGTGAAAAATGACCAAAATACATTATATACACATATGAGATGATCCAAGGGTAAACATACTTCGATAATGATGGCAGAGCATGAAGCAAGCACAGCCCCTGCCCCCCGGAGTTCAGAGCCCCACAGCACAGAAGTGCAGCCCATGCTCAGGTCTAGCTTTGTCAGTATCTGGCACCAACACCCTCCCCTTCCTCCAGTTAAGCGTGTCAGGCTAGTCCATCCTGAGGCTGGCTCGCTGCTGGCAACCATCCCTCCACCCCACAGCGAGCCAAGGTACCTGGGTGGCCTGCATGAGCTGTTGCCAGTGGCGGTCTCGGATGGCGGGGTTCTGCAGCTCGCTCACGGCACGCAGGGATGTGATCATGTTTTTCACCGTGTTCTCCAGCCCCACGAAGGCATCCCAGGCCTTCATCTCCTTGTCCAGAGACCTCACATCCTTGGCAAACTTCTTACAGTCGATGTCCATCTGTTCCACGTTGATGTCCTTCCACTTGGTGGTCTTCCAATCATCCATGCTGGTGTTGACCTATGGTAGGAGCACTCTGTGTCACTGCCCACCTTTGCTGGAAAACACCTGTCACCCAGGTCCATCTGCTGATGGGGAGCAGTGGAGAATATTTAGAACTGAATCCAGATGTTAGTCAAGTGGATAGATATATGAAAGAGTAAACTAGCAACATGTGTCATGAAAGATGGGCAGATGAAATGCGTGTTGTGGCCTTGTGATGGGTTAGCAGGACTTGGCTCCCTCCTCCTTCCAGCAATGGCTGTGTAACTTGCCTCAGCCAGGACATGTGAGCAAGGCCTGGACTTCTGGGCAGGAGCACCTGATTGCCAACACTTGGCTCAGTGATCTCTTCACCTGTCTTGTCAAGCACATTTATACACAGTCTGGAATACTGAGCTGACCCTTGACAGGCAGCTGCCCAATAGACAGTTGCCTGGAATGAAAGTCCGAAAAGTGCATTTTTGAGACAGGGTCTCTCACTATGTGGCCTCAGTTAGCCTGGAACTCACTATGTAGACCAGACTGGGCTTGAACTCAGAGATCCACCTGCCTCTGCCTAAGTGTTAGGATTAAAGACGTGCACCACCACACCCTGTGAGAAATACATTTTTGCTGTTCAATACACAGAGTCTATAGTGCTGTTTGTTACTGCATGGTAATCTATCTTATACTGACTAATAGGAACATTGTATTTTATTCCTGACAAGAAACAAAACAGGGCCAGGTGTGGTGCCACATGCCTTTAATCCCAGCACTCAGGAGGAAGAGGTGGGCAGGATCCCTGTGAGATTGAGGCTAGTCTGGTCTACATAGTGAGTTTGAAGCCAGTTGGGCTACAGGGAGACTATGTCTCAAAATCCCAGCACTGTAGAGGCAGAGGCAGGAGGATCTCTATGAGACTGAGGCCAACCAGTCTACACAGCAAGTTCCAGGCCAGCTGGGACACACACACACACACACACACACACCACCTGGAAAAAAATTCTACCAAAAATGGAACTAGATGCTGAGGGTCTACAGTCTTCATTTTGGGGTTGGTGCAGAAGCTGGAAGCCACTAGCCATCCGTGGAATCACTGACACAAGCGCTGGAGGTGGAAAGACTTGAGCTTGCTAAGCATGAACAGAACAGGAGGCTGCAGGATGCCCCCCAAAGACAGGAAGACTTGCAGGCTTAACCTGCAGAGGACTCCATGGGCCAGCCTCTGGAGGGTCCCAGTCCCGTCATCTCAGAATGTCCTGCTAGTTGGTTCAGAGGCCTTTTCCTGAGCCCCTACTGTTCATGAGCATCACTGTCTCCCGGACCACGCCCTCTCCAGGGCCACGCCCACTCCTTCCCTCTCCTGGGCCGCTCCCTCTCCTGGACCACTCCCGCCTCTCCCGGGCCACGCCCTCTTTTTAGTCTCACCCGCCTAGGGACTTTTGTTGGGTGAAGTGCATCTTTTCTCCCTCAGGGCAGCTATGGCATCCTGCATGTCACTCACGTGAGAGACTTGGACATAGCTCGCTATAAAAGAGGACCGGAAGTCTTTGATCTAGGCTCTCTCCTGAGGCCTGGCTGTGATAAGCCTGTGACGTTAAGGATTTCCGTGGGGGGACTGGGATGAAAACACCTTCGTTATTTTACTATGGCGTGTTAAAAGCAGAGATGAAGAGACAGAGCACACTGTGGGAGCCCTGATCACTGCCAGACGACAGTTTTCTAACAGAGGAGAGGACATAACTCAATTGTTAGCAAATTAGTCTATAATTCATTCAAAAGAACAAGAAAGAACTCAAACACATTCGAAAACACATGAGCCATGAGAAGGAGAGGCTATCAGAAGCCGACACACACACATACACACATATACACATACACACACATACACACAAACATATACAAAACACACATACACACACATATACACACATATTCACACACATATACATACAGATACACACACACAAACACACACATACACTAGGCTTTTAGAATGCCAGGA